GTATCAGGGTCAATTCATCAAATCTGAAATTTCAGAAATTGCAGCAGCGATGAGCTCTTTTCATTGTCGATTTCCTGTCCAACCAAAAGTCCAATTTGGAAACCGTTAAAACCAGTCAAATCTAGTTTAAGCATAGAATAAATTCAATGAAAGAAATCAGGAAAAACAACTTTTTAAAAAGAAGAAATTTGACTTTGAAATCAGTACCCTGCACCAGAAAATTTTCAGAATCAGTCCATCCGTAACGAATGGGCATTTTCAAATCCAAATTCTGAACAATCCGTAAGTCTGATTCATAAACCGTAAAACCAGTTTAAGCTACATTGAAAGAAAAGGTATTCATGAAAAGAAACACCTCAAAATGTTTTCAGAGCTACGAGAACGAGGCTCTGCAAAACAGCTACTCAGGCTGGTTATTTTTCTGAAATTTCAGAACTAGATCATACAGAAATGGTCTTCCTTTGTGAGACTATCACTACTCCAATTAATCAATCACAAGAGGAACCATCACACTCATCAAAAGAGGACTGAAATCAATTAAAAGCTCAGTAATAGCATACATCAAAAGACAAAAGTTTCAGCTTCAAGAACGGACTCCGTTTCGATGCTCCTATGAGCTCAAGTTCAACAAATCTAATTTCTTAAGTTAACAAGGCATGTAATAGCAACAAATCAGAGAATCATCCACATATACTCCTTCCCTAAACAATGAAAATCATAAAAGCAAAAGCACAACCACTCTTATCAATATCCGGCTGCTAAATTTCTAATGCAAGATGAAAGTAACATGCTGAAGTAATCCTAGCTTCCCTAGTTCTTCAATCTATAAATCATTAACCCCTCTAATTCCATATCTAAAAATTATACTAAATCCAAACCCAATCTTAGAAAGTTATTACTGAAAATTTTAAGATGATTGAACTAAGGAGTGAGAGATTTACTTGCCTTGAAGATTGTTGATGCCCGTTAGTTCCAACCCCAATTCTTAGTTGTTTCCTTTGCTAATTTCCTAGTTCTCTTCTCCTCTCAAGCTTTCTGTATTTCCCGTTCCTTCTAGCAGCCTCCCCTTCTTTTCTATTTTTTTTTTTTACTCATTTTCCTATTATTTTATTAAGCTAGCTTAATAGCTTTGGCTAGTCATGTTATGTGTTAGTTTAAAACTTGGCCAGCTCCCACTTGGACTTGGTCCACTTAATACACTACTATACTTTATCTAATTTCTCCTCCCTTCTATTTGTTAATATAAAATTTTAGTTTATTTCCTAACTATATAAAAAGAATTAAACAACCAATCTACTTCAATATGAGGTTACTGATATATTTTTTTTCTATGGATACTTATACTTGTAGAATTTATTTTCTACATGCTCATCCTACAAACTACACAAATTTTAAACAATGAAATGACAATATTATTTACTGAAGCATAACTTACGAAGAGTATATAAAATATGAGACCTCACAATAACATGAATGTTACGATAGTTCATAAGCACAGAATAATTGTTCTTGCACTCTTATTATGACACATTAGACACATGTGTTTCTTGATCTCTTTCAGTATCCTCGAAACTTTCGCATGCAAACTTCTGCACGAAAAACATTTCTCAAATGCGCGACTTATTTACCAATCACTTGCATCATTGCATATTCGTCATTAAGTATAGTGCTACAGCTTTTACATGTACATGACTTTGTTTACTCTCCACGAAGTAAATTTTTTGACCTATCTTAAACACGATAGCTAAGTCATGTCCATTTTCTTTCTTTTGAAAGGGGGTAGATACCCCTCTCGTACTTACAGTTGTCGGTAATATGCTCTAAAGTTTATAGTGCAGAATGGTTCCTCTTCCTTGAGCCGTGAGTCGCAGTGGATCGTTGTGTTTACTCTACCGAGAACTAACTTGAAGTTACTATATTGGGGCTGCAATGACTTTCACATCTGATGGTCTAGCTCCATGAAAAATCTCTATGACTCTTCAGGGGTCCGTAGTAAGTACAAATCTGTGGAGAAGTGTTGCATGATCTCCGCAGCATTATTTCATAGCCGTCGCGAGATAACCAAACCATGGCTTCAATAGCCTTGCTCATATCGTAGTGAGATCTTTCCACTTCTTACATTTTATATCTCAAAATGACTTTTTTGAAGGGGGTATACTCCTCCAATACTATATTGAATTCCATGTCATCTCTCGTGCTTCCATAATTTATTACTCACTAATAAATCTACTAGTGCATGAGTAGGTATTTTGTCAGGATCAGAGAACTATGGTGGTTTATCATGGTGACTGTGCTTGAGAGGCATTACCATCAGAACTTTACATCCTCGACAATTATCATGAAAGGATTCATACGAATTCTTCCCTCTAAAACCAAGATACGCTCGAACGAGTCTTTGTGTGTGCATCTTTGATCAAGGAGAATGACATATTACACTCGAGTGTTTTCATGTACTTATTAGTTGAATTTCACCATGTTTACATAAGCATGCCATTATTATACTTGCAATACATGTCTCGGACTAAGTTGCAGGATAAATGTCTCCCGAGACCTCTGGGGCAAAATAAGCAGAGATACGTAACACTCGCAGCTGATCCCTCGAGGATAGCAGCAACGTCAAGTTAGTTCTGAGCTTAGGGCGTTTATGTTTTAAACCCGGGATATAGACTATTGATCCAATGCACATAGTGGTAACCCACTCAAGTACTCATGGCAGCTGTTATATCTCATAAACACAGTTACACCCAATTAAACATGACTAGTCATTCGAATAGATATCCTCTTCAGTATCGTCCTTAAACAGACATTCTCTCCAGAATCGTCTATATTCGAGGAGCTCGTATCCAGTTTTCTCGAGGATATCCTCTTCAGGATCGTCCTTAAACAGACATTCTCTTCAGAATAATCTATATTCGAGGAGCTCGTATCTAGTTTCCTCGAGGATATCCTCTTCAGGATCGTCCTTAAACAGACAGTCTCTACTCTCTAATATTATATCACTCTTGAAGAGGGCCTTCTCGAGTCTCTGGATTTCTTAACAGAAGGTCATATTGGGGCAAGTTCTTGACGTACGGTTCAACCTCAAGACATTGTTCCTTCTTAAACTTATGTCCTCGACATCGAGTATTCTCTATCTTTATTCATGGTACTTCTCGATCCACTACTCAGTGGTTGTTCTCGAGAGTTGGGTCCATTACTTCTCGATCAAAAGCTTACATCACATTCCCCCAGTAGGCTCCTCATTCCTACAGTTGATATATCTTAGTCGCTGCTAAAGATACAAATTTTGAGACTAGTGGGAATCTCCACTACGTTTCTTTCTCGATTCTCTTAACGGGTGGGGCACCTGTTTTGATATTTCCCTGGAGCAAAATGTGGAAGTCATCATGTAAGGCCTTCTCAACTAACGCCTGGGTCAATAACGTGAATTACAATCTTCAAATAGATACTTCGTTCCGGCAGTTGTTGTATCTTCGAAAGTTATTAATAACGCATCTCTGCATTTGGGGTAATGGGAACGTCCATTATACTCCTTTATTAGTATCTCCATGGGGCAAATTATTAAGGTCATCACCTATCGACTTCTCACACGAAGGCTTCAACTGATTACTCTTCTTTCTTTACAAATTGGCGTGAATGTCAATCGCGTTTTATGATGCGTACATTCGACAAGGTACGCGCTGATTCTTTCATTGCTTTGATTTCTCCTCAATGCTAACCTGTCGCAGGTTCTCGATTCAAGTCAGTTCTTCCCGATCTTGAAGAAACTATATACTTCATATTATCAAGCCTACCCTATTTTCATACTTTGAAGTATAGGCTTGATAAGGGGCACTTGACGATTCCAAATAGTACGACCCACAACTAGGCCGACCCAAGTTTGGTGAAAGGTCTAACCGACCTCTAGAAGCTTCTACGTTGGTTATTATTTACTTTCCTACCAAGAAAGGATTTCATAACCTTGCTCTATAAATAGAGATCAATCCCTCATATTAAAGGTACGCTCTACGTACCGCAATTCGTACCCCTATTACAATTACTCTTACTGATTTAAGCATCGGAGTGTCTACCCTCGAGAGATCCGGAGGTCCTCTTTTGCAAGTTTTATGGTTTTGATACCGCCATAGCCGTCGGTTCAATCACCTGGAGACGTCGGTACGAATCTATGCTTCGTCATAGTGAAACTAAATTAGGGTGGCAAAAAACAAGAAAACGTTCAATAGAAAATGTGATTGTCTGAAATTTGCTGGAGAAGCTGAAATTCGCTTGAATAATTTGTATTGATTGCCTCTATTTTTTGTGTGAGTCGATTGGAAATCAGGTTGTATATTTATAGGACTAATATTTGGGTGTCGACTAAAGCTTTTCCAATGAGTAAATGAATTTTATAACTTCGTTTCCTAGTTAGATCGATGTTTGAACCGACTTTGTTTACTTAAGCTTCAAAATTATAGTACATGCCCGTCAAAAAACCTTTTTTTTTCCCGCTCTGTAATTATCAAATTATGTAGTCCTAAAACTGAACGTAATAGGAAACTAAAGTTCGTTTGAATGTTGGACCAAGATCAAACTTCTTAATCTTAAGGTTGCCAAGTGTTTTGATTTCCATTACCAGATGGACTTCAAGCAAAGCGGAAATTTTTCAAACGCGTGCACCGTTTCATAGAAAAGATCTGTTTTTTTTTTTTTTCAATGGTAATTAATTTCAAGGCTCTGCATGTCAAACAAATGTAAGGAAAAATTAATTTTTAGTTTTCGGCATGTTAAACATGCATTTTTTAAATGGTAATTAATGGGACCTGCATGTCAAACAAATTACCATTGAATTAATCAAACAACTAGGCTCTGCATGTCAAACAAATGGTAATTAATTTCAAGGCTCTGCATGTCAAACAAATGTAAGAAACAAACAACATCATGCCAAATGAGACGACTACCGTTACAATAATAACTTTCAAACGTTTTCGATACTATACTCGTCACTAATATCAAGAAACAAACATGACTAAAGTTTTTTCGTTAGGACAGAGCAAACACTATTTAATTTTCTAGACATCCTTCCAAACTTTATTCTTTTAGAGGATTGAGTGATCTACCATATGGAGGCTATGGTAGTTTGCAGTGATAAGAATATAGGAATGGGGATAACAATTTGGGACATGGAAAATGGGGATCGTCTTACACACATACCTAGTTGTGCTTCACCGCCTCATGGCCTTATTTGCTTGAGAAACCAATATCTTGTTGCTTCTCAGGTTCATAGATCTGGTTCAATACTTAGTGGTGGTGTCATCTTCAAATGGCCTTTAAATAAGGTATATTTTAATTTCCTTTTCTTCTTCTTGAGGTAATTTAGTTAATTTGTTTTGTTGGCTACACTTATTTTGAATTAATTCTTGGTATGGTTCTTTCTCTTGGTTAATTAATCATCAACATTCATCAGCATCAAGCTACCACAAGCAGTAATGTACTGGAAGCCATGGGACCCCTTTCTAGTACAACTGATGGAATTTATCTTGCTTGTGGTGGAGCTACTTCTGGAAATATTTACATTTGGGAGGTAAAGACATAATTTTTTTTGTCATTTTTAGTAACTTTAATTCTTGTTTTCGTAGGAATTAGACCTTAAGTTCTTAGATAAATCACTTCTATCCTTTATCTTAAAAAAATAATCAGTTTATCACCAAGTCAAAATTGGTTACATAATTCCTTGATTGGAAGAATTGATTTTTTGAATTTTATTTTATTTATTTATTTTCTTTTGTATGGCCAAAAAGGGAACTCAAGGGATGATTCAATTTATTTAGCAAAAATGTATATTAGTTACTAGTAGAATTTTGATATACAAACTTAAGAACTTACAAATTTGATTTTCAAACTTAGGCATAGATATATTTTCCAACTTGATAGTCTTTTCCAAACGACTATGAAAATATTTCTCATAAGTGAAGCTAAAATGTACCTTGAAAATACACACGGAATGTAATAGTGATTATGAGCGTAATCAACTAAACTTTTTATTCATGTTTCAAGATTATGCATTTTGTATGTTTAAGGGAGCAATTGAATCCACAGATCACAAGTGGGAGGTTACTCAAGAACTGGTGCGCCCATCATACATCCATAAGTTGCTTGGTGTTTTCAAAGGACGATTCCTTTCTTATCTCTGGTACTGAAGATGGCGTAATTGCTGTTTGGTCAATGATTGGGTAAACAAATCACTATTTTCTAAATTAAATTTTTGTTTTACTCAAAAAAAATGTGAGCCACATTTATATAGACAAGTTCTTTTTAGAAGCAGTCTACAACATATAAATGTACTCTCTCAGTCCATAATTATCGTCCAGTTTAAAATTTCATCTTTCGTACAATTTGTACTAAAAGTGAAATTTCAAACTGGACTATAAGTTTTGGGACGAAGGGAGTATAATTTATATTATAATTTTTGTTCTATCTCTAACTTTATGCTCGCCTAAAGTTTGCTAGATGAGAACAGTTGCGGATTCGTACCTTCCCTTTTGAGTTATTCAGCAGACCACAAGGGAATCATAACTGGTCTATTACCTACTTCGAGCAATGCAAATTATAATGTTATCTCGAGCTCACTTGATGGAACTTGCAAGGTTTAGTTTCTTGTTTTTGTTCTATCTTACCTATGAATTTCCTAATGAACTGAAAATCATGATGTACATTGTATGCATGTATTACATATACACAACTTCTACAACTAAATGAGATCATATCTCAGTTATCATATATAGATCATACTTAATTCGCGAGAAGGTTTAGGATTTCATAACATAATTAAGATTTTAGTTTAATCTTTTTTTATTATTGTATAGTATGAATAAACAAAATGACATTGTATAAACTAAATGACATTGTTTTACTAATAAGACATGTGATTATTACTTCCTCAGTCCTATAAAACTAGTCTACTTAGTTGTAAGATGGAGGGAGTACAAAATAAACTTGACAAAATATCTTATTCGTAACAATGTCAACTATTTTTTATAGAATAGAAAGAGTATATAATAAAAGAGACAAAATATACGATCTCTTTAAACTATTGTTTTTTTAATAATATTTTTCCATTTTTTTGAAATTGGCAATATCTGGCTAAGAAGCAGTTGCATTTCCCATTTTTAGGTATGGGATGTGGTGACAGGAAAGCTTCTAAGCACCCAGGCATTTCAACTGCCAATAACTGCAATTGTGCTTGATGCACTTGAGACTATTTTATTCTCTGGAACTGAAAATGGGACAATTTTTGTGAACAATTTTGATGCCGGACTCGATGATCTTTTCCCCAACCCCAATGGTCCGCAGGTGGTGCTTAATGGGCACAAGTAAGATTTTCGTTAACGTTAATCTCCTAAGCCTTCTTAGGAAGAATTTCTCCCAATGTATATATGTATATATATATGTGTGTACATATATATATATATTTGTTATTACAATTAGTGATATGTTTTTGAGTTTTAAGAATACCCATTTTGCAGAAAATCGATAAGTGCATTGGCATTCTCTAGCTTGGGTCTCATTTCTGCTTCTGATGATTGCACTGTTTGCCTTTGGGATGTAGCTAATTATGTCATTCTCCGAAGATTCAACCATTTCAAAGGTAAAATAAGATATTCATCATTATAATTAAGTACCTCAATCTCCTATTTTGATCTCATCATCTTACTTGTTACGCAATACAACCGCTAAACTTGAAATTGGTATACTTCATCTCTATACAGGGCCAATAACCAATGTGCTTGTAGTATCCAAGTCCTCTCTAACATCTTCAAAGAACAATCAGAGAAACTCCACACAATTTTCCATTTCCTTGCTTGACAAATATCCTCAGCCTCCCAACTTATGTAAAGGAATGTTAACAACCTTGCCTTCAAATTTTCACGCTCACCAACAAGAGAATAGAAGCACAAAATCTCTGAACTTTCAAATACATGATTTAGAGGTATGCTTTACTATTTAAAACATGGTTATTTACTTATTTTGTTCTGATATACTCTCTCCGTCTCACGAAAATAGTCTACATTGAGTTTTAAGCTTTGTACTGTTTTTAGTACAAATTTGAAAACTCAATGTGGACTATTTTTTTTGAGACAGAGGTAGTATATGATACTCCCTTAGTTTTGTAAAAATTGTCCAAGTTCTACTGATCAAATGCTGTTTTGGATTTTTTTTGAAATTATGCAGAAAGGGAGAACACCAGAAGCTTTACAAATGAAAGCAGAAACTAACAGAGCCAATCAGATGTGGGCTATCAACATGGCAAAGCAGACAATGAAATTCAACAATACCTTACAGTGCTCATACTTGGATTTACTTCATGGCAGGTTGCTACAACATGCACAAGAAGATTGAAAAATCTGCCATTTCATTTATTTTGCTAATGTAAACATGTCTCTCGGAGATCCTAGAAACCCATGTCACTTTGAAAAAATGAGTTCTTTTTTTTTTCCCATACAATATTCAAGAGCTAAAGGCCTAAAATATTAAATTAAAACACAATATGGGTGGAAATTCACCACAAAGTAGTGTTCTAACCACATGAGTGACCTCGAAAACAATCAGAAAAATCAATACCAATTTCTTCTAAGACCCTGTTAAGTAACTCTTACTATCATTGACTTTCTGTATCTTCTAGATCGTGGCCTTTACTTTGACCCAAAAAAAGAGGCTCGTGTCTTCCGGTCCGGAAGAAACACAAAAGTAATCCACTAATTGTTCTTTGCCATACAGCAATACGGGGTAATAAGCGTAATATTTGATGATCCATTACACCTAAACAATTTACTAGAAAGCATGAAACAAGCACAGAAAGTCTATCTTTTTGTGCTTGTAAAAATTTGCAAGTTAATGTTATTATAGCAAGGAACTCTAGAAAGCTTAAGCAACTGGGGCCCTCGAAATCAGGATCCGTAACATATATAATGGCGAAGCAGCTTTCAGACCTGTGAATATGTATCCTTGACTAAGATTTAAGATATGGCTAATTGTACTGAATCTGCAGTAATATATACGATGGCTCAACAAGGTGACAAAATTGAAGTTTTTGCATTAGTAGAGTAGTTACTAGGGCTGGTATCTGGTAAGAAGTTCGGTTCTGAAGGATTTACAATGCAAATCATTACCAAAGCCATGTAGGAGAGTGTTTTTTATTTTGGTTGGAGGGTTTACAACCCAAAAATCATACTTGATCAGATGTTTTGAATTGCACATGGAACAACGCCAACAAACACCAAAAGGTTGGAGGCAACGGCTTAAAGATGAGGTGGTTGGATAGTTATAGAAACTTAATGTAGAGAACAGATCAAATGTATTGAATTTACCTACCTATTGGATGAGTTGTTTCTCACCATGAACAAAAATTTTGCAATTTCTAAATCCTCAAAGTTTCCCATTGGAACAAGGTGCAAAGGCCGATTAACTACAAGATTTTTTGATTAACCAATTATACCACAAGCCCCAATTAATATCCGAGAAACTAATTGATCAATATTTTGTGAGTGAAAGAAGACTACCCGTCCCAAATCTTAATCAGTCGGATTAGTGTTTGGACACATGCTGCGTATACCGAAATAAATGTATATTTTTATAATGTGATTATTAATTTCCATAAAAAATTCAAATCAAACCTACTTCACTTATGTTCAGTATAATGCAGTTTAGGTTTTGGAATAACAAGCCTTGGCTTAAACGACACACACACACACACACACACACACATATTTATATAGAAAATCTAGAGTCCCGTTACGAAACCGTCCTATTTTTTCTTCAACTAATCAAAATTGACAGTATAAAATGTGATCATGGGGTGAGTAACATTCTAAAATATCCCAAACTAATTTTTCATTAATTTTATCAAAAAACATTATTATTACCTACCAATCAGGTTGTTTAACAAAATAAAATTGTTTGTAGATTACCTGATAAAATTTACAAATGAGAATCACTTTATTATTTTTTTCTTGAATAAGTTGTCTGCCACAATTGTTGTTAGATTTTGATTTTCTTTTTTTTTTTATATATATAAAGCAAAATCTAATAGCTGAACAAAAAATCGAGAGAGTTGAAAAACTCAAAACCAAGCAAGCAATAAAAGGGCAGATGATATTCCTAAACAAATTTTACTACCAATGAAAGTGGACAAGGCATAGAGCAGAAAAGGTATAATCAGATGGAATTAGGTCTATATCCCTATGATGCACTCTCGTGTTAATTTTACAATTGTTAATTATTTTAATTGATCCTAGGGTTAATTAACTTAAAATGGAACCGTCCCGTAATAGGTTATATATATATATATCCCATTGGATTTTTGTGATTCATGTTGCATTTCTTGTATTTCTGAAACGATGACACTAATAATATTACGTACTATTTCTTTAATTAAATAGTTCCACATGTGCTCGTATTAGTGTTTAATAAATTTGATCACTATTCTTAGCATTTAAGTTTTTACAGCCACTCAACCACCCTCGCTATTAATTCGAACCTTAGGTGGTTGTTTCTTTTTATATAAGAATCTCTCTAGATCGAATTTGTTCATCAAACGTGAACTCTTGATATAAATATTTCCATACTCTCTAGTTCGATAGAAAATGCTAGCCATATTCCATTTCTGCCCAATTTCAATGTTGTCACTTACTTTAAGACATTGTTATGCAGATTCAATAAATTTGATTTTTGACGTAGAAGATCTTAGTTTTAGGTATGAGATATGCAACCACGATTATTCTATGGATTCTGATTGGGAGGAGGATGGTTGTGCATTGGCCATTGTTTAACCTCTCTAGAGTTCCTTGCTACAGCGAGACCGGCTTTAGCTTTCTGAGGAGCTTTCTTGCATTGATTTTCTCCAAAAATCTTAAGATGGAATGCTCCAAGATTTGATGCCACCACATCCATGTACGGATAGCTTCTGTCCCGGTGTCCGATACCTGCCGCACTGGAGAGACGCTCACGTCCATTGTGCTGGTTCGTCGGAACTGCATTATTTACATCTTATCTACAACCAAAAACAACATTTGATCACTCAATTTACCGTAGACTGTGAAGGATGCTGCTCTCTCTAACCGACAGTTTTATGTTTTTGCACAATTGGAGTCTGGTTCTCTACAATGGTGGTTTTGGAAGATTGCCATTAGAGTATTCTGGAAAGAAAATCTTTCTTCTATATTATTTTTTATATTCTGTATTCATCAAGTACATATATATACATCCGTATTTATGACTAATCATTTCTACTGTCTAGTAACTAATTGTACAGTATAGTCCCTAAAGTTTCTATTATTTACAACTAAACCCCTGGTCACACTAGAACTATACAAACTATACAAACTATATTTCTATACAATTATGTACAATATATACACTTTACGTCCCCCCCTCAAGCTGAGCATGGAGGAAATCTGGCATGCCAAGCTTGGACAAGAGACTAGGAAAGAGAGGAAAGGGGAGAGATTTGGTAAAAAAATCAGCCAATTGATCTTTTGAAGCCGCAAAGAGAGGAACCAGAAAGCCTTGCATGTAATGTTGTCTAACAAGGTGGCAATCGATCTCAAAGTGTTTGGTCCTCTCATGAAACACGTGATTTTCAGTTATATAAATGGCTGACTGACTGTCACACCAAAGAGGAATAGGAGAAGTACGGCTAACACCAAAGTCTTGACCCAAAGCAATTGTCTGGTAGTGTAGCTAAGGCATCTATACTCAGCCTCTGAGGATGAACAAGAAATGTTTGCCTGTTGCTTAGCTTTCCAGGAAATAGGAGCCTTACCAAGAAAGATACAAAACCACTGACTGACCTTCTATGAAGAGGATTAGATCCCCAGTCAGCATCACTAAAAGCCTCAACAGAAAACTCATTATCAACAGGATAAAACAAACCTTTGGAAGGAGTGTTCTTAAGATTCCTGAGGACATGTTGCATAGCAATCCAATGATCAGCACAGGGTTTATGCACATGTTTACTAAGTTGTTGAACAACAAATGTAAGATCAGGACGGGTGAAGTTCAGATACAAAAGCTTTCCAACAATTCTCTTGTGTTGAGAAGGATCTGCAACCTCAGGACCTGGTTGATCATTAAACTAATGACCTTTGGGCAAAGGAGTTGTTGCTGGTTTACATCCTAGCATGTCAGTAGCTGTCAAAATATCAAAGATATGTTTCCTCTAATTCAAATAAAGTCCATCCTATGACCTTGCAATATCAATCCCTCGAAAGTATTTGGCTGTTCCTAAATCTTTAATGGTGAACTGCTCATGCATAAACTGCTTAACTGTCTGTATTGCATCTTCATCTTCCCCTGTGATGAGAATATCATCAACATAAACCACCAATGCCAAGAAGAACCCTTGAATCTTACCAGTGAAGAGACAAGGATCATGTTGAAATTGTTGAAATCCAAAATAGTAAAGTTGAGCTGTAAACTCCATATTCTATTGTCTAGAGGCCTGTTTAAGTCTATAGAGGGACCACTGTAACTTGCAAACAAGATTAGGAGGAACCTGATACCCTTCTGGACGTGTCATATAAACCTCTTCTTCCAAAAATCCATGAAGAAAAGCATTGTTTATGTCCAGTTGGTGCAATGGCCGATTCTTTGAAGCAGCAATTGCTAATAACAATCTCACCGTGACTACTTTAGGAACAGGAGAAAAACTTTAAAAGTAATCTTCCCCTTCAATTTGAGTTATACCCTTTGGCCACCAATATTGCCTTGTATCTCTCTATAGTGCCATCTGAATGATGTTTGATCTTATACACCCATTTGTTGCCTATTGGTTATTTTCCAGGTGGCAAAGGAGTTAAAGTCCATGTCTGATTACTTATCAAAGCCTCCAACTCCATTTGCATAGCCTCTACCCATGTCGGATTTGTACTAGCTTGAGCATAAGACTTTGGTTCTTTAACACTGTCAATTTTTGTCAAAAAGGACAAATATTGTGAAGCAAAACCTGGTACATGAGAAAGGAAATGCAGGTGGTGTATGAGGTGATCTGTGAGAAGGAATGGCATATAGTTGAGTTACACAATTTTCTTTCTGTACTTCAAAATCATTCATCCATTGTGGCTTTTTTTCTAATTCTGGAACTTTTTCTGAGTTGTGGTGGAGATGGAACAGGTGGATGGTCATAAGAAACTGGTGAGGATGAGGTTAAAGGAATGGAATGTGTATGAGAATCAAGTGGTTCAGGTATTTCTGTAACTGAATTAGTGCCAATGACTTGTTTCAAGGTAGAATAAGAGGAGTCTAAGAAATCAAAAGGTGTTAGATCGTTGATGACCGAATGATCAGGAGACGCTAGTAGTTTAAAAGGAAATGTATTCTCATAGAAAATTACATCCCTTGAA